GGTCAGTGGGGTCATCCCATCTATTCCTACACTCATCCAGTTTACCAGATCCTGCCAGAAGTTAGTTGTTACTGAACAGGAAAAAAACAAATGATCAATACTTTCTTCATTTCGTAAACAAAATCCACATGGCTCCACCTCAAACCCAAACCTTTTTTAAGCATTTCTGCTGCTGGGTAATATCCATTGATTATTTTAAATTGCATTTCTTAAACTTTGCGGGAGATCGGCCATTTAAAAAAAATGTGTATATTTGTTTGTTATTTTAACATTACTTCCTTTTAATTTTGTGTTACTATTAACATCGTGAAATAATATATTTTTAAATATTTCGTTTATGATTTTATTATTGCACTTTTTATTAGTTAAAGGAATCTGATTTAGCTGTAAAGAAGGTAAACTTATTTGTCCCTTAGAGTAATATAAATAACCTTGTATCAAACTCAACAGAGGTAACGGGATCGCATTACAAACTTTGTTATATTCTCTAAGGGAACATTGAATGTTAAATTTGGCATTGAAAACACCTATTTTGAGAAACTGCCCCTTCTCATCAAGTAAATCTGTTATGAAGATAATGTTTTTTTCATACCACTCTTTAATGAATAATCATTTCCTATTCATTGTAATGGTCCTGTTGTTCCACAAGGTGGAGCCATGAGGCGTGAAGTTATGGGCAAAAATCATCTTCCAATAATATAAGACTTGCTTATGATATTCTGACAGTTTGACAGGCAACTTCAATATATCAAAATCACATTTCAGGAGAAAATCCAACCCTCCCACCCTTTTGAAGATATTTTTAGGGATATGGAACCATATGGAGTCGGGTTTTAAGAGGAAGGCTTTTATCCAGTTTATTTTAAATGCTCCAACCATTGATTGAAAATCAATTGTCCTTATACTTCCTTTGGTGTAATCTTTGACGAGTTGTGATTTTTAATGTAATGTGTGTTATTGCGCCAAATGAACTGATAGATTATGGAGTTAATCTTTTTAATACTTTTCGGGGTAATGTATAATGAATGGGCTGGATAGACCATCTTTGAGACACCCTCTGATTTGGATAATAAATTGCGTCCAAAAATTGTGATATCTCTCATTAACCAATGATTTAATGTTTTGGACATACTGTACCATCAATTTTGTCTTTTAGGTTTTTTGACTCTCTAGTTTTGATATCTTTATTTAAATAAATGCCTAAATATTTTACTTAATTTTTCACTGGAATCGTCCTTATGCTATTTTCCAAACAATAATAAAGTGGTAAAAGTTCACACTTCTTTAGATTCAGATACAGGCCTGAAGCTTTAGAAAAAACTGAAATTACAGTCAATGCTTTCGCAAGTAATAATTTATCCTTCAAAAATATTACTGTACGTGTCATCCGCGAACTGACATATTTTCAGTTCAGTATCAAATATATTTATTCCTTCAATGTCTGGATGGTTCACTGTGACAAAGCTGGTCTAGATGTCACCGCTGAGCAACCCTGGCACACACATTCACACACGCTCACACACACACATTTTGCTCACACACACACGCGCGCGCTTACCTCTGAAAAAACCATCACGTTCACTCCCCTCTCGCCGTTTCCGCCTGCTGTCGGCAGCGCGGGTGCACACACGCTTCCGATGGCACACGCACATAATGTACATTACTTCCTCTGTTTACGCGCGTTCATAATCCCGGACATTGTACTTTGTCGTGCTATTTTGGGCATGCGGTTGTGTTTTATTTTTGGGCAGGCATGCGACGGCCGGCACTCCGGTGTGCGATACTGAATCCGGCCAAACCATTGAGTAATGTCAGGAGGGGTGCCTGAATTTGGGGCGGGGAACAAATTACCTAGAAAATACATTGTTTACCACATTCACTATGAGGTAGGCCATTAATTGAGTGCAAAGAATAAATAATTTTGGAGACAACCTTGCCGAATTCCACAGGATACGTCTATTCTAGGTGTTATGCCTGGGTTGAGAGAAACATAACTATAGATCTGGTTGTAAAACAGTTTGATCACTTTGCAAAATTTGTTTCCAAATCCAAAAAGTTCTAAAGATCTAAATAAAAAATCATGGTCTATTGAATCAAATGCTTTAAAAAAAATCAATAAATAATATTAAACTTTCTGTATTAATAATTAAAGGATCGGTAGTCTATCATATCTTATGTTATTATGAGTCTGCCTTCCTTTAATAAACGCTGACTGATACTCGTCAATTAGATTTGTTAAGACGCTTTTAATCCTATTTACATATGCTAAGGCTAGTAATTTGTAGGCCTAATTGTTACATAAAAGTGTTATGGGTCTCCAATTATCTAGCACTTGTAAATTTTTGTTTGGTTTGGGCAATAAAGTTATTAATCCCGTTTTCATTGTTGGAGATAATTTTCCATTATTTAAACAATCCAAAAAGGCTTTAAATAACAAATCTTTAATGTCTTGCCAAAAAGTCTTATAAAATTCAATCGTTATAGGCCGTTAATTCCAGGCGATTTTCCATTTTTCATTTGTTTTAGGGCTGTTTCTATTTCGGATATATATATTCAAATCTTCTTCTAACCATAATTTATCTTCCTCTTCCAATTTTTTAACCTGGTCTTTGATCATATCAAAAAGGATATCTGCATTCCCTTTTTGGATCCTTGGTTTATACAAATTGCTATAAAATAGGTTAATTTCCTCACTTATTTGTTTTGGGTCCTCTAACATAGTGCCATCCTTACTCAATTTAGTTATTTTTTTCTTTGTTTGTCTACGTTTCTCTAGACCATAGAAATAAGATGAATTTTTTTCTCCATGTTCAATCCACTTGGCTTTAGACCTTACATATGCTCCTTTAGCCTTAATCAGGTACACATCATCTAGTTGTTTTTGTAAGGATTGTAAGCTTTCTGACTCTTCTTCAGTCATATAAGGTTTACTACATAACAAATGTATTTGTTCAATTAGATTTTTCTGTTTACGTATGTGTAGGGCAGATACTTTCTTTCCTGATTCTATAGCTAGTTGTTTAACACTATATTTAAACCATTCCCATTTACTGGCATTAGTCATCATCATATTAATAATTTCTAATTTAATTTTTTTAACTTGTGTACAGAAATCTTTGTTCTGTAATAAACTATTATTAAATTTCCATATGTTCTCAGATCTTTCTTGTTTACGTAAAGATAATGAGAGACTTAGACAATGATCAGTAAGTGGGGTTGATTGGGTTTCACATTTAGTAACATATGATGATATTGTTTGGGAGACAATCCAATAATCTAGTCTTGAACATACGTTCTTATTTGTTGGACTAAACCAAGTGTATTTCTTTGTATTACGGCGTCCCAATCACGTTATTAATAGTGATTTTGTTTCCCATCCCGCGGGAATCCCGCGAGATTCCCGAAAAAATGTGCACTGATGACGTGTATCAGCAGCGACAGCTCGCGTAGCCGGGATGATTTGAGACGACAAACTTCCTCTGAGAGCTTCTGTGAATGTATCGCGGTCGGCGGAGAAGTCCGAGCTGGAGCCAGGGACTTTTTCCAACTCTCCGGGCTCCCATTTTAACTGCCCTTGTGTTCTGTATCATTGATCTTTGTAATGGTAAGTTCATTATTACCTAAGACGGCAAATATCCTGCTGCTATGTCAGTATGTGTAATATTGATGGTTCTGTTCATTTTTGTTAACTGAATATTGATTCATCTTGATTTACTGATTCATACCGTAATGTCTATAATCTGTACTCAAAAAACTCGAACTAAGTGACCTCACCAGTTACTTCAGGAAGCAGGAATGGATGTAATCACCTAAATTACCGATGAATTAACACTACAATGTGTCCGCTGAATATCCAAAGTGCCGTTTTTATTTATCTAGATGATATTTCCAGCCACGCCTTGAAACGCACGCTGCTGTGCTGCTTTCCAGCCACGCTGCGGAAGACGTTATGTTAGTATCTAATTATGCGTGAATTACCAAGGAAAATCTTTGTCTAATTAAGACAGTAGATAAACGCTGTTAGTTAGAGAATGAAGTAGTCCTGTCTATATGTGAAACGCCTATGTGATCCCCTGCATAGAATATGCGATGGCTGGATATTCAGAATAAATAGGATAACGGTAGCGTTCCGTTTATTCCGCTTCATACAGACCACCCCCCTCCCACGACAAATTTTAGCTACTGCCAGCACCCCCCTCCACACCACACACGCACACCATAATGATTTTATGCTTTATTAGTAGTTCAAGCGAAGCCTGTGATACAGTACGTATAGTGAATCAGCACACAAAGTTATACTGTCTTAGTCAGAAAATAAGGAACAATGAAGAATAACGGGGGGCTAAAGTCACATAAGCAATAAATTACACTAAGTAAAAAAATTAAGCACCCAGAAGTAATAGTCTGATTTGAATGTAATTTGGTACACGTGCAGACCAGTGATGGGTGTGTAAATGATTCGGTTTGCAAGGAGCTGGCACATCTAGTTACCAGACTCATCATATTGTACACCAAGCATTACAGAGCCCCATGACTTCTGCGCCTGCCATCCAGACACAGGTATTGGACTCTCTACAACACCCCATGTCACTCCACACCGTGTCTCAACGACTGGCATCAGACAGACTGAAGGTTCACCATCCCATGCGTAGGCTGCCGTTAACAGCAGCACAGAGACGGTTTAGTTTGGAGTGGACCGTAACCAGGAGGCATGGGACTGATGACAAGTGGCATCGTACCATGTTCAGAGATGAATCTCATTCTGCATTACCACTGATGACCGTCATGTGCGCATATGGCAGAGCCGAGGGGAGAGGACCAATCCTGTCAATGTTGTGGAGAGACAGACGAGCGTTACTCCTGGCATCATGGTGTGGGGAGCCATAGGGTATGACATCATGGTATGGGGAGCCATAGGGTATGACATCATGGTGTGGGGAGCCATAGGGTATGACATCATGGTGTGGGGAGCCATAGGGTATGACATCATGGTGTGGGGAGCCATAGGGTATGACTTCAGGTCATTTCTGGCAGTGATTCGGGAGACCCTCATGGCACAGCGCTACGTCAGTGACATCACCGCATGTCTTACCCCTCCTGAGACAGCACCCTGGTACAGTCTTTCAACAAGACAATACTCGTCCATGGACTGGGTCTTTGTCTATGGGCTGCCTACATTGTGCTGAGGTCCTCCCGTGGCCAGTCAGGTTCCCCAATCGAGCATATGTGTGATCAGCTCAGATGTCAACTCCGACCCAGTGCCAATATGCAGGATCTTGAGGGCCAGTTACAACATGTGGGCCGACTTCGCGCAGGGGAGGATATAATGGCTGTACAATTCCCTTCCACACCGTATTGCCGCATATATCCAGTCCAGGGGGGTCCCACACCCTACTGACCTGGGACCAGCAGTGTGCCCATACTGCCAACTTTGCTGTCTTTGATCTGATATTGTAATCACTGCAGTACAGTCACATGACCTTTCTCCAGGTGCAGATTCATTTCATTTCCACCACTCCGCCTGGGTGCTTAACTTTTTTTGTCACTGTATATTCTTTACAAATATTGATAGTCTTCATGGCTTTACAATATACTACAGTATATAGTCTGGAGGTATTGTTGAAGTTCGTTTTCAAAAATAAACATACAGGGGTTGGACAATGAAACTGAATTGTGGTTACAGACCACAATACCTTATTAGTATGGTGTAGGGCCTCCTTTCACAGGCAATACAACATCAGTTCATCTTGGATGGATGGTAGATTCGGGTCCTGCACAGTGGCTAGAGGGATTGCTGACAGGTTTCACAAGTACCAAAGCGCATGACATTCCTACTGGCGTTACATTTCTGCCTGTCTGATCCCTGTTTCCCTCAGGCGTAGCTCTAAACTAGCCGCCCCTGGGGCCCGTTAGTCTTAAGTCTCATTCCTGCCCTCCTGTTAATCACTCACAGCTGCCTTGTCTCTGCTGCTTTGTTAGTCCTGTGCTCCCTGTTTGGACCTTGTGACCTGTCAGTATCTGTTAACCTGTCCTCTTTCTCTCAATAAACATGTGTATATATACTGGACCCCACTGAGAACTAAAGGTAGCAGCTCCTGGCATTTCAAGTATGGGACAGTTATTTTGATAGCATGAATCTTTAGACGAATGTCCACTCAAAAGTTTGGGTAGGATTTTAACTGAAAATTGTTTGTATAAGATAGGAAATTCTGGCAAAGCCGGAAATAATGCAGAACATTTTTGAATTTCCACGTACCTGAAATTAATATCCCTAAGTAGGGATGTCCGTGGCGCTGTTATTTATTAGCTTAAACTTAAGAGCTTTGACATATTAAATTTAAAGTTTGATTTTCTGTGGCACTCGGTGTACTGTTTGATACACTTTGACTTGATTCTTTCATGAAAACTTGTTTCATTTGTGCTGAATCTTGTATAATGTCTTTGCTACCCATGCAGGGAGGGAGGTGGTCTTTGGAAAAGTAGGAGGAGAAGTTACACTGACTCCTAAAGTGGACCAGCCCATCTCCAGCATCATATGGAAATACGACCCAAAGAAAGCAGCAGAGTGGAAAACAGGTCAATCAGAGCCTGATTATTATCCCATATGTTATCCCGGACCAAGGTGTCAACTGAATACTGCAACTGGGGAGCTTAAAATTATGCATTTAAAGCAGAATGAAAAACTGGATTTCTCTGCTGAGATCAATGGAATGGCAGCTCAGTCATTTTTTACAGTGATTGCACTTGGTAAGTAAGATTATTATTTTAGGTCAGTTTTATTCTGTATACTTGTCCATATTTCAGTAATCAGTTTTGCTTACCTTGGTGTTTTTAGCATTTTCATTTAATTGTGTATTTACACCGATCTACAGAACCAGAGTCCAAACCCAGTGTTGGGAAAACCTGCAACGATACCCAGTGTACTTTGGTCTGTGAGGGAAAGGACACCACATATACCAAGTACTCCTGGAAGGAGAACAATGAGAAGATAGCAGATGATACCACAACACTCCATGTTCAGAAGAGTGATAAACTGGATAAAATCTACACGTGTGTGTTCAGCAACCCTGTGAGTACGGAGGAGAGTGACCCTGTCAAGGAAGTGGATTTATTTCCAGGTGAGTCACTCAGAAATACTCTTATATTTTAGTTTTATTGTACTATATGGTGTTCATTAGAGGTCGACCGATATTGAATTTTACCGATACCGATAGTTAGGTTGGTCCGTACTTGCCGATAACCGATTAATTAACCGATAGTTTTTAAAATGGATACTG